TACTAGGAACAAGAAGCTAGTAGTAACAAGTGCCTTACTACTAGGAAAAAGAAGCTAGTAGTAACAAGTGCCTTACTACTAGGAACAAGAAGCTAGTAGTAACAAGTGCCTTACTACTAGGAACAAGAAGCTAGTAGTAACAAGTGCCTTACTACTAGGAACAAGAAGCTAGTAGTAACAAGTGCCTGACTACTAGGAACAAGAAGCTAGTAGGGAGGGGTATTTATTTTTGGATTGTTGTTTCTTTTTTGGCTTTTTTTTGTTTTTCGTGGCTTCTGGCTTCTGGCTTCTGTGGCTTCTGGCTTTTGTGGCTTTTGGCTTTTGGCTTCTGTGGCTTCTGGCTTTTGTGGCTTTTGGCTTTCGTGGCTTTCGTGGCTTCTGTGGCTTTTGGCTTTTGTGGCTTTTGGCTTTTTGGCCTATCCATCTATCTGTCTATACCTATCTATTTATCTTTCTATCTTTATTTCTTTTGGCAGCTGTTCTCCTTTCTCTTTTTGTATTTGCTTTTCCTGTTATTTTCGTTGCAGAGACGAAACCAAACAAGGAAGCAAGCAAGCAAGCAAGAGCTGCTCACCTTTGGATCTGGTGTGCTGCTGGGGGGGGGGCTCCCCGACACCCGCGCCTGCCACGAAATCAATATTTTAAGGTGAACTCCCCGGTGCAAAAAATTTTCTAACCAAGCAAATATGCCTCCTCTATCTATCTATCTAATCTTACCTTACCTTATCTAATCTAATCTAATCTATCTATCTATCAATGTATCTTTCTATCTTTCTGCAGTTCAACATCCACAAAGTACTGCACCTGCCACGAAATCTGCACTTCAAGGTCCACAAAGTCTTGCGTCTGCCACGAAATCTGCACTCCAAGGCCCACAAAGTCCTGCACCTGCCACCAACTCTACACTTCCACACCCACAAAGTCCTGCATCTGCCACGAAATCTGCACTTCAAGGTCCACAAAGTCCTGCGCCTGCCACAAAATCTGCACTCCAAGGGCCACAAAGTACTACACCTGCCACGAAATCTGCACTTCAAGGCCCACAAAAAGTCCTGCGCCTGCCACAAACTCTGCACTCCAAGGCCCACAAAGTCCTGCGCCTGCCACGAAATGTGCTTTGCAAGGTCCACAAAGTACTGCACCTGCCACGAAACACGAAAAACAAAACAAATTAAAAAAACGAAAAAAAATCCAGAAATATGTTCGCAACCAGCTAGTAGTATCAAGTGCCTTACTACTAGGAACAAGCTGTATGTTTACCATCGCCACTAGGATGGGAGGCCATCGCTACTAGATTGGAGGCCATCGCTACTGGGATGGAGGCCGTCGTCGCTATGTGGTTGGAGGCCATCGCTATTAATGTTGGATCTTAATCTAGGGAGTCTGAAAAGTTGCACCCCCGCAAAAACCATTAGTAGCAGTCGTAGTAGTAGTCGTAGTCGTAGTAGTAGTAGCAGCAGCACTAGTAGTACCAAAAGAAAGTAAGGATTTGAAAGGGGCGGCAGTAGCAGAACAATAGACAAGTAAACAAAACCCAAGAAAAAACACCCTGGGTTAAAAAAACAGGACATGTGGACTTTCATTAGCTCTAATCTTCCAGGAGCATGCCCCCGACCACCCCCCCCAAAAAAAAAAGAAAATAGAAAAAAAATCAGGACCAGGTCAACAAGGCCTATGTCACGAGTGTGTGCCAATGAAATTGTCCTGTATAACATTTGTACATGACTAAGGGCTTGCCCTGGGAAAGTTGTATGTCATTTCGACCCTTTTGGCCTAAGTCATCTCACCCTAGTATATATGTGTTAATATTCCGTCACATTAAACTAATCAGGGTGTGTGAAAAATGTTGCGAAAACTTTTTACTATTCCGTCCCACGTTACTAATTTGGATGCGACATTAGGTTGGAGGCCATCGCTACTGGGGTGGAGGCATGTGGAGGCCATCGCTCCTAGGTTGGAGGCCATCGCTACTACTAGGGTGGAGGCATGTGGAGGCTATGGCTCTTAGGTTGGAGGCCATCGCTCTCCATCGCTACTAGAGTGGAGGCACTCGCTACTAGGTTGGAGGCCAGCGCTATTAGGGTGGAGGCCATCGCTATTAGGTTGGAGGCCATCGCTATTAGGTTGGAGGCCATCGCTACTAGGGTGGAGGCCACTTCTATTAGGTTGAAGGAGGCCTTAAAGGAATTTCAAGGTGGGAATGGATGTCTATGGCGGGAACGTAAATGTAGGCGCACAGGGGAGAAGATGGAAGAATGGTAGACTAGGGGTTTGTTCAAAACCTTAGTTGACTTTGTTCAGCCTTCTGGTTTCCAGCCAGAACTTGCCAAGCTCGTTGTTGAGCAAGTCGGCAATTCACTAAGTGGTAAGCAATGCCGTGCAATAAGCAAGTACAACACTTGATGTGAATGAATTGTTCAGGTTTGCTCTTTCTAAGGATGGCTGCAGTGGTTGTCCGGCGGGACATTTCGCTTCACTTGGCATGGCGGAGTGTCAAACCTGTTCTCCGGGCACGTTCACAGCAACCAGCGGTGAGGTCGAATGCTCCGTTTGTCTTCCGGGCACCTTTGCCCCTCTCGAGAAATCTTCAAGCTGCCTACAGTGCGCTGAAGGCCAGGAGACTTTAGTTCTGTGCTGTTTGGTTCTTTGCAACAAGCAAAACGGGTGCGAAGGGATTTTGTTGACTGGTTCTGGTTGGCCTGGAGTAGGCAGCTATGCTGACCAGATGCAAGCCACAGAGTGCCGCAAATGTCCCAGAGGCACTTATGCGCCAACGTGTTCTGGATTAAGGCTGTTCTTTTCGGTGATTGGTTTTAGATTCAACATGACACTGCCATGGAACCGACTCTTTGTTTGTGGAGGCCATCGCTAGTAGGTTGAAAGCCATCGCTAGCAGGGCGGAGGCCATCGTTACTATAGGTTGAAAACCATCGCTACGGAACTGACGTTTTTTCTTTGAGCATCGGCTTATTAAAAAAAAATACAACACACACATTAAAAGCCACTCCTCTCCAAGGAAGGGCTTGTCGCAATGCATTCCTTGTCCCGAAGACCGTGAGACCACCTTCGAGGCCGAAGACCTTTGGCACGAGACAAGAAACCCCATCGTCGCTGAAACCGTGCGTGCCAAGCTTCGACCAGCTGCATTCTCCATGTGGATAACGTATGGATAACAGCTCGGACAACATATGAGGAAACTGCATGCACAGAATCCTTACTTGGGAATGTTGCTTGGTTGATGGGAACAATGACGGCATTAGCTAGCACGCGGAAGGGTTAAGGGAGTTTCAGGATACGCGGACAAGGCAGCATGACTAGAGTATAGAATCAAGGACACTCAGAGGAGCTTGCGTTGGAGGCCATCGCTATTAGGTTGGAGGACATTGCTATTAGGAGCAAAGACACTTGGAGGAGCTAGCTTGGGACACCGGATGAGAAGATCGAATCGAACGCAGGGGGCCTCCGCTGAAGCGATGTGTGTTTGCAACTTTGGTCAACGCTTGGAGGGCGGTGCTTGCATCCCATGCCTAGCGAATCTCAGCGAGAACTCTTGTAACCTCAGGATCAGGAGCTAAACTTGTCCCAAGGCCTTAGCTGCCTTGGATCATTCCCACTGCTACCAAGGGCTAGATATGGGCTAGATTTACTTTCGAGGCATGCAACGCTTATTTCTTCGACTGCTAGCGTTGCGTTTAGATGGTCTTCTTCGCTCCTTCATCGACTCCACTGAATCCGACGCAATCCTAAGGACGGAGATTTGTCAGGGTGGCCTGGTTGTGGGCCACAGGCAAGACATGCATTCGACCTCACGGTTCAGAAATCTTGTGATTGGAAGCGTGTCTTCAGGCCATCGATGGAGGCTTGGAAGTCAACGTTAGATGCAGCAAAAAGCCAGGAAGCTTTGAGCGAAAAGTATCTCAGTCTTCAATTCAAAGGGCTTTGGAAGGACAACTTTGAGAAACTGCTTTTTTGGGACCAAAAACGGACCGGCCTTGTTTGTAGAAGTTCTTCGACTCAACAAACTTTTTCCGGAACTCAACGAACTGATCGCAATAACATGACATGTTGCGGACCGCGATGCTACTTGCACAACAGGTATTTAAAGGCCTGCAGGTATCGGTCTTAGGCGACCTGGATGTGCTGGGCCCAGATGTGCTGAGGATTGGAAAGGACTTTTTCTCCTTTGCCTTGGGCCTTTCCAGCAAGTCCAAGCTGGAGCTCACAGTTGGAACATATGAGGATGTCCTGACCGCGCTCATCAACGGAGATCAGAAGCAAAACATCATTGCGGCGCCTAATGAGGCCGTCTCTGTCGCCATATTGCGTGCTGAAATCATTTCGGAATTGTCAGGATGTGGCGCAAAAACTGGCAGCATCAAAGAAGATTTGGACTTTGATTGCATCCCTCATGGAGAGAATGGATCCACATGCAGTGGATTTGTCGTTAATTGAAGACGTTGCAGAGCAGACAACTGTGCTGAGGACCCAAGACAGGTAGAAGTCGGTAGAAGGTAGAAAGATGTAGAAAGCAAATGAAAGCGAGAAACATTTGTCGAGAAGAGACACATTTGTCGCATGATGACGGTGATGTCGCATGAATATTTTAATTCTTGGACACTCTTGCTCATCTTGCTTCTTTCAACTAAAAACAAAGCGTTCTACTTGCAACCAGAACCAGCTGGTGATAGCTGTGGCTTGTGCTAGTGAGTGACGTTATTACTACCCTAGTACCTAGAGAAGAAGGGGCTTCCAGTCAGAAGCTCAAGGCCTCCTTCACGTGGTGGAAAGCGTTACGAGATGACTAGGACCTAGGAGAAGCGACCAATAAACATACTAAAATCTAAAGGCATGCACAATTCTCTCTGTTTCAGCGAATTTCGTTCTCCAAGTTCTGCGCTAAGCTTTGAACCGTGCTGTCCGGGTCCGGAAGTGATGAGTTTAAACGCCGCCCGGGCGTCGTTGTGAGACGGCAAAACCACGAAGCCCCGGGAGATAGATAGATGGATAGATACTATAGATTCTAGATACTCCTTCCTAATTGCAATGACCTCCAACCTACTAGTGATGGCCTCCAACCTATTTGTGATGGCCTC